AGGTCCCAAGTGGCCTTGACCAGGGGTGGAGGTCCCAAGTGGCCTTGACCAGGGTGGAGGTCCCAGGCTGGCCTTGACCGGGTGGAGGTCCCCAGTGGCCTTGACCAGGGTGGGGAGGTCCCAAGTGGCCTTGACCGGGGTGGAGGTCAGTGGCCTTGACAGGGTGGAGGTCCCAGTAGCCCTTGACCGGGGTGGAGGTCCCCAGAAGTGACCTTGACAGGGGTGGAGGGTCCCAAGCGGCCCTTGATGACAGGGGTGGAGGTCCCCAAGCAGCCTTGACCTTATGTATATATGTGAAGGTCCCAAAGCGGCCTTGACCGGGGTGGAGGTCCCAAGCGGCCTTGACCGGGGTGGAGGTCCCCAAGCGGCCTTGACCGGGGTGGAGGGTCCCAAAGCAGCCTTGACGGGGTGGAGTCCCCCAAGCAGCCTTGACCGGGGTGGAGGTCCCAACTGACATGACCAGGGTGGAGATTTAAAGCGGCCTTGACAAGAATTGGAAGTCCCCAAGCAACCTTGACCGGGGTGGAGGTCCCCAAGCTGGCCTTGACCGGGGTGGAGATTCCCAGCGGCCTTGACCGGGGTGGAGGTCCCAAAGCGACCTTGACCGGGGTGGAGGTCCCAAGCGACCTTGTGACCGGGGTGGAGGTCCCAAAAGCGACCTTGACCGGGGTGGAGGTCCCAAGCGACCTTGACCGGGGTGGAGGTCCCAAGCGACCTGACCAGGTGGAGTCCCAAGCGGCCTTGACCGGGGTGGAGGTCCCAAGCAGCTTGACCAAGAATTGGAGGTCCCAAAGCGGCCTTGACCGGGTGGAGGTCCCCAAGCAGCCGAAGCCAGGGTGGAGGTCCCCAAGCAGCCCTTGACCTAAAATTGGAGAGTCCAAAGCGGCCTTGACCGGGGAATTAGATACCAAGCCTTGACAAGAAATTGGTACCAAGCGGCCTTGACCGGGGTGGAGAGTATAAAGCAGCCTTGACCGGGGTGGAGTACCAAAGCGGCCTTGACCGGGGTGGAGGTCCCAAGCGGCCTTGACCGGGGTGGAGGGTCCCAAGCGGCCTTGAGCAGGGGTGGAGGTCCCAAGCGGCCTTGACCGGGGTGGAGGAGGTCCCAAGCGGCCTTGACCGGGGTGGAGGTCCCAAGCGGCCTTATTGACCGGGGTGGAGGTCCCAAGCGGTATGACCGGGATTGGAGGTCCCCAAGCGGCCTTGACCGGGGTGGAGAGACTAAGCGGCCTTGACCGGTGGAGGTCCCAAGTGACCTTGACCGGGGGTGGAGGTCCCAAGCGAGCGCTTGACCGGGGTGGAGGGGGTCCCAAAGCGGCCTTGACCGGGGTGGAGGTCCCAAGCGGCCTTGACCGGGGTGGAGGTCCCCAAGCGGCCCTTGACCGGGTGGAGGTCCCAAAGCCTTGACAGGGTGGAGGTCCCCAACAGCCTTGACCGGGGTGGAGGTCCCAAGCAGCGCCGACCGGGGTGGAGGTCCCCAAGCGGCCTTGACCGGGTGGAGGTCCCAAGCGACCTTGACCGGGGTGGAGGTCCCAAGCGACCTTGACCAGGGGTGGAGCGACCTTGACCGGGGTGGAAGTCCCAAGCGACCCTGACCGGGGTGGAGGTCCCAGCGACCCATACCGGGGTGGAGGTGGCGACCCTGACCGGGGTGGAGTGCCAAGCGACCCTGACCAGGTGGAGGTGTAAGCAGCCCTGACCGGTGGAGTGCCAAAGCAGCCCTGACGGGGTGGAGTGCCAAGCTGACCCCTGATGACGGTGGAGGTGTAGCCCTGACCGGGAGTGGAAGTGGCAGCCCTGACCGGGGTGGAGGTGCCAAGCGGCCCTGACCGGGGTTGGAGGTCCCAAGGTGACCCCGACTGTAATAATAATAATAATAATAATAATAATAATTAACTGTTTATTGAAAGAGCATGGCTGCCGGAAGGCTGAAAATATAGTTACATAATTGGGGAATGGGTCTCGATTTACAAATAGTATACAAGTAACATAAGTGTTATAAATATGATATATAATAACTAGGTGGGGAGAAGCTCAAACTACAGGGCATTTCAACATAGTGACAGTGCAAAAAGTAAGATTGACTGGGAGTGAATACACTGGTTGATTACAAGTTATTGATAATTTTTACAATGGTTGGGACTGGGTTGTTCTTATAGCGATCAGTTTGTTTTCGTATGGGCTGGATGCGGTTGTGGTGTCGAACAGTAATTCGCGGGCGAGGGATCTCAGGTGGTAGTAGGAGCCGGTGTAGAGGATGGTGTAGAATCTTCTCACCAAATTTGCAGATGAGGTCGGGGTGATGGTTAGTGAGAGCCGAGAGGGTTCGTGTGTTGAGCGCTCCTTGATATGTGGAGTAGGAAGGGAGAGAATAATCTTGCGTGTCCTCTTTTGCACTTTTTCTATGTGTTTACATTGTGTGGCATTTAGGGAGGAAGACCAGGTAGGGGAGGCATAGGTGAGCTTGGGAAGTATGAATGTAGAGTAAACACAAAGGAGCTCGGGTGCAGGAACTCCGAGGGACTTGATTCGGCGGAGGAGGTGGAGACGGAAACTGGAGGATTTGACAACTTCGCTGACGTGTGGCTTCCAATTTAATTTGTTGTCTTTGGTGACACCAAGGAGCTTAGTGGAATCTACAACCTGGAGTGTGTTGGAACCTAAAGTAATGGAAGGGGGTGGGACAACGTCGGAGGAGAGGTTGATGTGCATAACCATGGTCTTGGTATGGTTGATGGTGACGTGGTTGTTGGTGGCCCAGTTTTTGAGACTTCAATAAATCCTGAAGGGCAGTATAGTCAGGAGTAGAATTGTTGATGCTGATCCCAATGGTGGAGTTGCCGACAATTCCAGCGAGCAGGGGTTTCTCTTAGGGGATCTTTGATAAGCATAAGGAAGCATAGTGGTCCCATCTTGGTGCCTTGGGGGATGCCACGGGTGAGTGACTAAAAGGTGGAGACAGCCCCTCAGAAACATACAGCTTGGTGTATGTTACTGAGGAAGTCTGTAAGCCATGGTATAAGACTTCTTTGAAACCCGAGGTCGATAACTTTGTTGATGATTAAATTGTGGTTGACTAGGTCGAATGCCTTAGTGAAGTCAATGAAGGCGACAGCTACAGACGTTTTTCGTTTCTCCAGATGGCGGTATATGTAGCTCCCAAGGTGACCCCGACTGGGGTGGAAGGAATTTTCATGGAATAGAATGTTATATAGTGTACAGTGATCATTATGGCCCAAAAGTACAAAGAGTGACTGTGTACCTGACATTGTTGTTCAGCAAGGAAAATAGTGACCTTGATTATGTTGATGGTACAAATAGAGGTGTATGGACGTATTGGTTCTGGTCAGTAGGTACTGGTGGGTGTACGTATTATTGGTCTGGTCAGTAATGCGGTAATGGTTGCATGCAGTTACCTCGACAGTCCTGGTCAGTGCATGCAGTGATCTTGACTGTTGATGATTTACAACTGTACATTGTGTGATCTTGAGGGCTGTATACATTAGGAATCATCACTAGAACAAAACCATATACATAGTAATACAGGTTATCTTGGTTTCACTTTTATTTGTAATATAGTATGCATTTTGAGTTGCATAAATATTTCAAGTTGTCAATACTCCTCTATTCATTGGTTTTTAAATTAAGTATACATTATGCAAGTATTAGGCACAGTATCTCAAAAATGTATCTGCCAGGATGAGTCTGATGACTTCCAAAACGTTAGATGCAACTCGTGATGTCACGGGATGGTTGGTATGTGTGGCTCTGTGGCATGCTGATCCTACCACATTTGGTAACCGAACGTCATATTGATTATGCCAAAATAAAAACCCATTGCATTACTTTAGTTCAACTAGACAGTGCAGTAATGTGCATATCCCAGTGTATCATCCGTGGTCTCCTAATGTTTCTCAGTGTGGACAGATATTTCTTTGAGATACTGTACATGGGGCATGATGTGTGGGAGAAAGGGATGAAAAACTTGAACTTTTCTTTAGTTTAAAGTTTATTCTTACATGCAACATTAACTTATGATAGAGTACTCTTCTATTTGAGATTATTTCATTCTCCCTTCCTTCCTCTTCCTTTCTTTACTTTTAATTTCTTAATTTGTCTCTTCTTAATTGAACTATATAATATCCTGTATGGAAAGAAGCACATTTATGTGTGTGATACATAATGCTGCTGAGGATATGATTTTCAGTTTTCCAGCTGTCTTTAAAATTTTAAAGGATTGATTTTCTTAGACAAATACAGCACTGCATTCAGCCACCTTATCGACTATAATATCCAGACTACATCACCAGTTCAGTATGCGCTGAACTGGTGATTTAGTAAACCTTCACATATTTCACACATGTACTGTACAGTACTGTACTACAGTATTTGTGCACTGTTGATTCTGGATGATCTGGTACTGTAATCTTTTTTCCTGACTCCTCCAATTAAGTATTCTCCACTCATCATCATGACTTGAAATAAGACTAGGCTACTGCCTAAAGATTAGTAAAGTGATGCAAGAGTGGTGAAATATGTACATTACTGTAATGATTTTTAACTTTAAATTAGTACTGTACAGGGTTTCTATATGCAGGAAGTGCACATAAAACTATGTTGGTTGGTAAATTTAGTCAATGTTAGACTTGTGTTCTGGAATCCCATACACTTTACTATAGGACTGTATTATAAAAACTGAAAAAATTCTGAATCCAGACACTGTTTGGTCTCAACCATGCCAAATTATCAAGGTTCCACTATTTCCTTTTTATATAATGAATGGATATTAAAAATGGCACAAATTAATGTATATTATAGTATTTTCATATTGGAAGAAAACATAAGTACAGTACTGTATGGTTTACAGGCAGGACTGTACATAATTGTGTACTGTACAGTTTTATTTTTCCATGATTAAAGCAAATGCATATACTGTAGGTGCATGACCTATTGTTGTATCTCTAGAATGTAGAAATGGGTTGATTACCTATTTTTTCTAGGATGAAGAGAATGAGAGCAGTGAGAAGAAGTCTGCCAAAGATGCCTTACTGTTGTGGTGTCAAAGGAAGACTGCTGGCTACAGGGGGGTCAGCATTGAAGATTTTTCTCGTGAGTTTATATAACGCCACATTTTTTATGGTGAAAATGTCAGTGTTTTTATATATAGTTTTGTTGTTTTGGTTAATGTGATATATAAGTATATGAGCTCCAAAATAATTTTTGGTATGGGAAGATTTTTGATTAGATCGATTTAGTTTGTATTCTGTGAATAAATAATAGCGATCATTTACTGTACCATATTCAAGAAGCTTACTATATTAGTACAGTACTGTATCATGGTATAAAATTTTTTGACTATTTCCAGAATGTTTTGGATTACAGTACTTGTATTATAGAGTACTGTATACTTTATGCTTTGTATTACATGATCTCTGCAGCAGTTTAATAAGTTTGAATTTTAGGATCCTGGCGGGATGGCTTGGGTTTCAACGCTCTTATTCATGCCCATCGGCCAGACATCATTGACTACAATTCCCTGATCCCAAAGAATCACATCAATAATCTCAATAATGCCTTTGATGTGGCCCATAATGAGTTGGGCATTGCCAAGATTCTTGATGCTGAAGGTATTGTTATGGTGTTATTTGTATTAAAATACTGTACTGTCTATCCATTATTTCCTAATACATATCTGTACTGTAATGACTTTGGTCATAAATAAAATCTGTGATCATGAGGAAGATGATGTAATTACCGGATATTTATACTGTATGCTGAACTACCATATACAATACAGTATTTATATATCTTTTGTCATTCTGTAAACCTTTGACCTTATTTGTATCAGATGTGGACACAAACAAACCTGACGAGAAGTCTATCATCACCTATGTTGCCTCATACTACCACACCTTTGCTCGCATGAAGAACGAGTTGAAGGGCTCAAAGAGAATTGCTAATGTAAGTAGAAATGATCTAAACTAATATTTTTGTGATAAATTGTACTTTACTGTACTGGTCATTATAAATGCTAGATAATCAAAGCACATCAGTATTTGAAGTCACAAGAAATTGTAAAAAATTGTACGGAATCTGGTAATTTTTACCTTTTTTGTAGAAACTGTGTAATGGAGAGAATAATAATTGTACACTTTAAGATCTTGATAATCTCTCGTATTATATTCTTCTCCTCACACTGCTAGAAATACATACATGATGCTACTGATCCTGGTCTCTCCTTCTTTAATACTGTATTTCTTAGACTGTGTTGATATTAGAATAGGGTACTGCAGTTAATAAACAGGAGTTGGTGGAATTGTAAAATTTGCAGGTACCTGTATTTCAAAATGTGTGCCTAGTTTTCAGAGTGAATTGTGTAGGTTCTATTGCATAGTGCTTTGACAATGAATGCCTCGGTAAAAAATGCTCCCTCACCAAAGTACTGCATCAAGCTCGGTTGGTTTGTTTGTTAGTAGTGAGGGAATATAAAAATGTTAACCCTTTCGCCGCATTTTACTCACTTGCCATTTTATTCTGGCTACCGCCAGATGATCTTATTCAGCTTAGGGTAACCTCCCGCGGTGAAAGGGTTACACAAGTGATGAACAATGCTCCTTTGATTTCAAATGACACCTATTTTTTAAGTTGTATAAAGCACACCATAATTTTTCCCTTAGATATGTAAATAAGCAACATATTGGGCAGGATATTATCTGAAGTCCATGATATTCACCAGACAATTAAAGCAGGAACATAAAGAAGGGTGAACCAAAGCCAGTTGACAGGCTTTAAAGGAGTCAATGGCAGATATTCATTTTAAGCTTTGTACAATATTTAAAATAAAGACATATACACACTATAATCAATGCACCACAGTTTCTCTGTTCTAAGGAGGGTTGTGCTCCTTGAAATGGACAGTACTGTATAAATGAAGGTACAGCAAGTGTCCAAAGTAATGTTGGGTTACTTTCCCAACCGCAACCAAATTTCCTCTCCATGATAAATCTACAGTAAATATATTTGTATAGCAATAAAATTAATCTGATTACAATGCTGTGCTGTAAGTTTTAATGATTAAGCAATATGAATGAGTATCCAGAACCTGTCTAGCCACCCTGCACCAGAACAGGAAAGGGTTTGTATAAAAAAAAAAGGTGTATACAGTGAAACCTCCATATAGCCGACTTTTTTCTCCATATAATCCGTTACATGGAGGTTTCACATCTAACGGACCCTCGATGTAATGGACTTTCCTCTCCATAAAGTTCATTAAATAGAGGTTTCACTGTATATATATCAAAGCAGTTGTCCAATATTGAGAATTTTATTAATGTCTTGTTTCTGTACAGATAATGAACCAGATGAAGGATGTAGATGACTGCAAAGTTAAATATGAGAAAATCACCACGACTCTGCTGGAGTGGATCATCATGAAGGTAGTGGAACTTGATAGTCGAAAGTTTCCCAACTCTCTAGACGGAATCCAGAAACTACTCATCCATTTCAAAAAATACAGAACCGAGGAGAAACCACCCAAGTTAGTGAAACATGTACTGCATGTTGATTTACTTGTAAATGTTGGAGATTCAGTAAATTATCAACTAAATTATCATGACATGATGTAGTTACGAAATTAAACTAATAGTATTAGAAAGCAAAATTCTTCAAGTTAAGGTGTTACTTTAATTTCTATATGCAGTCAGTCCTTGACTTACGACGGGGTTAGGGTCCGACGACCAGGTCGTAAGTCGAAAATGCAAAAATAATACGTAGAAAATCTAAAATGGGTGTTTCTTTTTCTTCTCGGCACCACGAGAACTCTCACTTTTACGCTTGGTAGCCATTTTAAAGGGAATTACAAACGAAAATTTTGTCAGTACTCGGCGCGATCACTAATAATGTCGGGACTCGAAAATACGTAATTTGAAAAAATATTTTATACGACTGCAGCGGTCGTATGTCCGGGTGGTCGTAAGTCGAGGAGTACCTGTATAGGTACTGTATTGCACTACCCCTCGTTTAAAGTGGGTTTGTTCAATGTGGATTCGCTCAAACCATTTTTTATTCCTACTCTACTTTATTACTACTACCCGGTATCACTTAATACTTGGCTAAGATTCGCTCGAACGCTAGTTTGAGACGGGCTAACACAGGAAAATTTGACTGACCGTGGTCAGCTAGCAAATGTTTTGTGGAGGCCAGCGGTCGAGTCCATTACAGTCCACAGGTAGTGTTCCCAGCGGGCCAGTAGTCAAGTCTATTACAGTCCATGGGTAGTGTCTCCATGCCATGTGGGCTCAGAGTTTAGCTATTGCCTAATGTTTCTCTGGGCACGCTACACTGCCCTAAGGGCAAAGCTGTACTGTACATGTACTCAAAATAATGTACTAAATGATTACCAAAATTTTTGTCAAGTGCGAACTATAGCATGTTTACAGTATATTTAAATTAATCACTATCTTATAAGAATTCCAGCAATGTAAATGATATTCTCCCTGGTCACTTCTGTGACATTTTATAAACAAAAAACCAAAAACTCAATCTAAAGGACATAAATAAATACTTCACTAGACCTTTGGCACCAACTGTCAAACTGTCACTGTCACCTCCCCCCTCTCCCCCCCCCCCTCCATCTTCCCAGCCAGGGTTTGGTGGTTTTAGGCTTAAAGTTTTTATCTTATATAATATCTCAGACTAAAGTTAGGAGAACATAATTTGCATTGCTAGAATCCTTGCAAGACCGCAAATAATTTGAATATAAACGTCATATATTTTGCACATGAGATAAAAGTTTTAGCCATCTTGTAATAAGATTAATTAAAACTAAAATTTGTATGTCTAATGTGAACTATAGCGTGTATATATTCAAGCTAATCACTATCTTATAAGAATTCCAGTAATGTTAATTATTTCTTCCAGGTCAGTTCAGTGACATTTTATAAGAGAAAAACGTAGTCACTCTTAAGGGTAGATAAATAAATAAGCACTAGATCTTGGCATCAACTGCCGAACATATCACCTCACCTCCCTCCCTCGCCCTCCCCCCCCCATCTTCCCAGCCAGTTAACAGACCATTTCCCATCCCTTAATTTTAGCTGTGTTGATTTATGAGTTTTTGTTTTAACATAATAAGTCGACCCTTGTTAATTCGGACTACAGTTCCTCCCCGACTTACAACGGGGTTAGGGATCCAAATCCATGTCGTAAGTCGAAATGGTCGTAAGTCGAAAATGTTTAAATAATACATAGAAAATCTAAAATGGGTGTCTCTTTTTCTTCTCAGCACCACAAAACTCACTTTTAAGCTTGCCAGCCATTTTAAAGTGAATTACCAATGAAAATCTTCTGTGTACTGACGTTGGGACTCGAAAATACGTAATTTGACAAAATTTTGGTACCACTGAGGCAGGTCGTAAGTGCAAATGGTCATAAGTCGAGAAGGTCATAAGTCGGGGAGGAGCTGTAATGGGGGGAGGGGTGTGTCAGTTTTAGCCGATAGTCCGAATTAACCTATTTAGGTTAGGTTAGGAAATATAGTACCGTATACACTGTACGCTGAACATGATACACAGTAACAAAAATACAGAAAATACTGTACTGTAAACATCATATAACTAGCTATATAAAACTTTGCAATATGCTAATTTCATTTACCTTTGGTAGATGACAGATGAGCTTGATGTGGTGGAGGTGGGGGGTAGAGGTGATAACGCGTTATTCGGAGTCAATAGAGCTATGATGCTCCACTGGTCCTTGTCCCCCACTCGTAGAAGTCCGAGGTGACTGAGGATGGCCTGAGTCAGCAGCAGGGTTGGGACGAACTGGCTTGAAGAATGAGTCTAGTTTCATTTTTTTACCTTGATGATGCTGCCTCTGGATAATGAGTTCCCTAAAGGCTCTAAAATGTTGATAGTAATGCTGAACATCATTACTTTCTGCTGACAATTCAATGTAAGAAATGACATTATCAGTGGATTCTCGTATAACAGAGAGTTTGGGTTTCTTGGGCAATGGTTCTTTGTCTTCCTCATCTTCACTATCTCTGCTGTCACCAACGAGAACTTCATCCGCTATTTCTTCTTCTGTTAAGAGTTGGTATCCAGGGTCACCCTCTGTGTCTTCTAGCCAGTTTCTGATGTCGTCTTCTGTGACATCATTTTCGCCCGCCCTCTTAAGGATATGATGAAAGTCCCTTGCCTCGAATCCTTCGAAATCATATCCTACCTCCACAATGTACAGAAGTTTTTTCCAAGCATTGGCTAGAGTGGTAGTCTTCAGTGCCTTCCATGAAGCTGCTAAGTTGAATATTGCAGACTTGAGGTTGTAGTTCTTGACGCTATTAACAGTTCTTTGTCCTCGTGTGTCTTCCGTAAGATCTTCATCTTCTTCTATAACCGCAAGAACTTCGTCTAGATATCTTCGTTGGTATATTCTCTTGCAGGCTACAATTATACCCTGATCCATTGGCTGGATCAGGGAGGTAACATTGGATGGCAAGAACATGCATCTTATTTTACCATCATTACTGACAAGCTTGTCAGCACCTGGGTGAGCAGGTGTGTTGTCCAAAATTAGTAGTGCCTTCACCTCAGCAGCAGGAAGTTTGAGGACATCTTCTTGATATTTTCGCACTGGAGGAATGAAATGCGAGAAAAACCAATCATTAAAGATTTGCATGTTGAATCACGATTTCTTGGAGTGGTAATAATGCACTGGTAGATGGTGCATCATGTCTTTCAAAATATGCGGGCGTGCTGACCTCCCCACCACCACTAACTTTAAACGGTGCATACCGTCTGCGTTCACACAACACAATGCCGAAAATCGTTCCTTACCGTACTTACTTTACGACCGGGTGAGGAGGCTTCATTCTTGAAAGCTTGGGTATTCCGGGGTAGGGACCGCCAATACAACCCAGTTTCATCCCCATTATAGACTTGGGAAATCAGGAGCCCTTCACTCTTAATTAAGTCATTTAGCCTCTCCCTGAATGGTTCGATGTCCTCGGTGGGTGAGCTACCAGCTTCACCATGCGTAATTTTATTACACATTCCATGGCGATTTCTAAATCGCCATAACCACCCGTCACTAGCTTCGAAATTCTCAATGCCCATATGACTTGCTAGCTTAACAGCAGCAGCTTGTATTTCTACACCACGGATGACATTACCACAGGATCGTTGCTGCACAAACCACTTCGTCACTGCCTCCTCAAGATTTGTATCTTTTGCCACTCTCATACTCTTCCTTGCACCAACAGATGATGATTTAGAAGTTGCATCAACATTATATTACTAAGAAAATGCAATGAGTTTGTCCTTAGCCTTGCGTATGTCCGAAACTGTTTGCTTTTTAACACCATACTCGTCACAAACTCTAGACACCCAAGCACCAGCCTCTAACTTCCTTAGAAGTTCCAGTTTCTGGTTCACAGAAAGGGTCACATACTTCCTCTTCGGCATTTTACTCCCCCTTGAAGACATGATGTAAAATACAAGGCTGAAGGATGCCTAATCACTGAAATATCAAAGAAAATTGCAGGGCATCACAACACTGATACACGAATATGGCGCTAGGTCAACAATGACTGGCGTGACTCGCGTGCGCACAAGGCTGCCGCGTGACCCATCTATCTGACAATCCCAGAACCATAAATTTGGTATGGACTCGTCTATAACCCTCCCTCGTTTATAGGTCGACCCTGATTTTTTGACCAAAAAATCGTTAATTTATGATATTCCGTGTGTATAGGTTGACCCAAGTTTTTGAGGGTATTGGAACAACAAAACCTTCAGTAAAAACACACTACGTCCTATAAACTGAGGCTTGCCGTGCCTGAAACACCGAGTGCCGAAGGCAAATTGTTTACCATTTATTATTACGACACTTTACACTGAAACACGGGTAGTATTTATTCAAGTCAATTAGGAGGGAATATTATTGTATACAACAGTTTTTTAACTAAAAACCATTGGATAAGCGATTACGGTAAAATCTTTTGAACAACGAAAGAAAGCGCAAGTCATTGTTTTCGTCATGATTTTATACCACTTTCCACTGTAATACGTACGTCATTTCAGCAAAAATATTACATTTCCATATTTATTTCTGAGAATATATTCATTCGGTCACAGTTAAGGTAAAATATACTTATGGTGTAATATTTTAATGAAAATACCCGGTTCTTTAGAAATACGGTATCGTAGTTTTCTTTTGTTTCAAATTCAATTAACAAAGATTGACGTTTCAAATGCAATGAACAAAAATTTATGTATCTATAAATAAACTTTAAAATTTAATACTTTATGTTTTACATAGTCCTGTGCTACCATACCATGCATTTGGCTACTTTGGGCTTGCTATGATGACGCAAGATATCTGCCCTGGCAACTGTACCGACACTCACAGCTGGTGGTGCGTCGTTTCCATTGTTTACTGGTAGTTACTGGTAAATATTTTTCAACCTAACAAAACTATTACCCGTTAAGAGGTCAACCTCCAATTTTTTGCCAAAAAATTTGGGGTCCACAAAACATGTAGCTATGTGTGTGTATGTTTATTTGAGTGCCCCGTCATAGGAGTCCGTTTTCTCTCGCTTCAGGACGCCTGAGTCCTCCGTTTTCTCTTAATCTTGGAGTGCACTGCACCAGAGACTTTATTCCTTAGTAATGAAACCGAATTTGAAATTGCAACCCCAATTGCAACTAGGACAATCCCAGAACCAGAAATTTGATACGGACTGTTCAGATTTCGTCGGATTTATCCGAAATCAGGATTAAAGGGGTCCAAATTAACGAGGGTCGACTGTACAAAAAGCAATGTTTTGTTTGTTCTAGGAGATGGGCTGAGGTGCATCTGGGTAGACTCTGTCTTTTTAGTTTTTTGTGTTTCTCTCAAGTACCAAACTAAATTATTCCATTGAAACAACACTTCGATTTAGTGCGAATTCGGTTTAAAGTGACCTCTCTTGGAACATATCTGTAGATAGGGACTGAGTCAAATTGAGGTTATACTATATATATATATATACATTTCAGAACTTGCATATAAGTGTGTTTCTGTTACATTATTGTGTGACATTATTTGTGTAATATAGTTTAAAATTCTTAAACTTAAAAGATAAAGTAGTGCAGTAATAGAATTAAGGCTGGTAACAAATATTTTTTTAAGATTGATCAAAATGTTTACCATATTATTTTCTTCATAGATATAAAGAGAGAAGTGAAATAGAAGCACTGTTCTTCTCAATTAATGCAAGCCTTAAGGCTCTGAACCAGCCAGCATACATCCCAAAGGAGGGCCAGTTGGTTCACGACATAGAACGAGAATGGAACAACCTAGAAAAAGCTGAACATCGGCGGGAAGTGGCACTCAGGGATGAGTTGCTCAGACAGGAGAGACTTGAACAGCTTGCATATAAATTTGACAAAAAGGTAAAATCATTTAAATGCATTTGTTCTAGTCTTCCAGAGTAGAATTGCATTAAAGTAGCATACATTATTTCAAATGTAGATGTCCAAGGTATTGTGGTACAGTAACCAAATTTATTGGCTAGGATGTCTATACTTTTTATATATTTTGATATTTTTTAGTGTACCTCCTCTTTATTAGAATTACTAAGACAAACCAACATGTATAGTTTGCTGTTGGTGTATTTGCTTGTTTTACTTTAGGAAGTTATTTGTCTCTTTTTCTTGTCTATCTGATAACTTGGTTAAAACCCTGACCTTATTCCCTTGAAATTTACTGTGGATTGCTTTATCATGTAGGAAGGTTCTTGTGAATTTTAAACATGATTCCAATTCAGAAACCTATTGTGGACAATAATATAAAGAAACTCATGAACAAATTTCCTTGAAATTTGTGTATGTTGGTTAGTTCTCAGTGAAGGTCTGAATAAATGTTTGAACATTTTCATAATCTTAACTGATAATAAGTGAGAAATTGAACTAGGTGCCATTGTAGTTACATTAATGGACAAACAAGCAGTCTAGTTTATTGTGACACATCTCAAACTACGAAACTGGTTCATACCCCAGTCAGATTTCAGACTGCTAGTTCATTTTCTTTGCAGTGGATGGACTACTGGTGTTAACAGACCCAAGGCCTGGTATATGTCAGTTAAAGTGTTTCATACTGTATTAATTATAAAATTTCACATTCCATTTTTACCCAATATTCCCGTCCAAATTTTATTAGTTACTATCAGGATAAAATTTGTCCTTTATTGTTCAGTGTTTTGAAGCAGCGTGGGTATGCTGTATTTGGTGAAACTTCTCTCGAACTGACAAAAGTTGTTCAACTAGCTTTTTAAGATATTTACTACCACATTGCATAGAATTTAATATCGGTACAGGTATCCCTCGCTTAGCTTTAATTCACTTAACGTTAATTCAGCTTAGTAATATCAAAATTTTGACACCATTTCACTTAAAATAAGGTAAAAATTCAGTTTAGTGATAGATTGACCCACTGGAAGAGGAAAAAACTGGGGATGAAATGGTCAGTGAGATGGCCTGTTGCCATTGTTACATGTAATGAAACCATAAAAGATGTGGAAAAATCATTACAGTACTCTAATCTGGCTTAGAAATAAAGAAAATATAATATAAGATTATAAAATAAGAAAAATGAAGAGCATGGGTGTGTACTATGTGTTTGAAGTGAACGTATGCATGGAGGCAGTAGGCTGTAACTTGTCTCCCAGCTGCGGCATCATGGCATACACATACACGTCTCAGAGTCGGCTGGGTGCCTGCCTGGCTGAACTGTGTCACATCACCCAGAGGATGGTTTGAGCGTGGAGGGAGCTATTTCTTGTACATAAAATAATGCTATTGTATTTTATGATATGTTATGTATCTTGTAATTTGAAATGTGTTCAAATAAGGCTTGCCTTGTGCTCATTAAGTTGTTTAAATCTGTATCTCATCATTTATATACAAGTTTGGTGTTAATAAATCGATAGTTTAACTTCGAAACCGTTTATAATAAACTTGTTTATTATAATTATTAGGGAGTATGTACTATACAGTACTATACTCAGTGTTTACTATCCTGCCATTTAAACCTGTTGTTTGCCCTCCCTGGTTTGCTGTTATCCCTCATTTAGTGATAATTTTGCACAACGTCAGGTTTTCAGGGATACTTATATTGATTTTTTTCTCATATATCGTAGAGTGTTCTTCGTAAGGGCTACCTCGAGGAAATGATTCAAGTTTTGAGTGATCCAAGATATGGTAGTAACTTGGCACAAGTGGAAGCTACAGTCAAAAAACATGAAGCCATCAGCGCTGACATCCTAGCTCGGGTAAGTCTCCTTTCTTTCTAGAATGCAAGGTCATAGGAGGCAAAGTGAGGGATGCACAGGGGAATTGTTGAGCTGGCATTATTATATGTGTATAAATGATACACTTGGGAGGCAAGAGAAAGGCGCAAATTAGAAGTGACAGTATTCTCGAGGTGCAGAGAATAAGAAATACTGTACTGAAATAAGAAGATAAAAAAGTGATGGCCTAGGGACTGCTCAGGAGGTCTGGACATTCTGTATTAAGAAAATGGGAAGTGAAAGCTTGGTTGAAATAGTATACATTTCAGAGATGTATGGAATAAGGGACAGGAAGGCTGAGGAGGAGATGGAAGGATGGGGTGATGGACATCCAGGAAGTAGCAGTGTGTTTTTGTGTGAACGAGAAGAGAGTATGGCATATTGGTTTTTGGGAAGGACCAACTGCTGATAGGTGATGTGGGTTTGTATGAAGCAACCAATAAATGAGGTATAGGGTGTTATTGTGGAAGGGGAGTCCCATAGCTGAGCATAACTTGAATGGTACAGTACTTCAGTAAGAATAGATGAATGACTATAATTACAGGGAAAATTTTTGTGTTTGTTCTTGTTTCTGGGCATCCTACATTAGACTGGGATAAATGTGACGAGGGTGACAAAAAAAATAGAATTGTAAGATTGCAAGTTCTCACTTAATGAAAATTTGTGATTGTTTTTCAAAGTTGTTGAAATATGGGTCAAGTTTCAAACACTTGCCTAGTACTGTACCTCTAAGACTTAATTCATAGAAATTAAATAAATGAAATTTCTGTTCTAGTCTTTTGAGGTCACTTTGAGTATATATATCCTGTACCTTTTTTCTGTATTTAAAGCAGGGTGGCACCTGATTTATTTTTTATTTAATTTTGTGCCAAAAGAGGTTTATGCAATATCATTTACCGTTCTACAGCAAGAGAGATTTGAAGATTTAACCAAAATGGCGGATGAGTTGGATGCTGAAAACTACCATGGTAAGGAAGCTATTCGCAAGAAGGAAAAAGACATATTAAGGAAATGGAGTGAACTTCTAGATCTTCTCAATAAACATAAGGTTCATCTGCAGAACTGCTGTATACTTGTTGGTATCATGAGAGAGGTGGATACCATCACTGCTTCAATCAAGGAGCTGGAAGTAAGTTGGTACTAAATAAATTTTTATTTACTTGGTAAAATCATTATCAATTGTAATTTTTTATAACATTGTTGATTTCATCCTTGCTTTAGTTTGATAGAACTGTCATACTTCATTTAAATATTAGACATTATCTTAAAACATAGGTCCTTGTTTGCGGAATTAATTTGCTAATTTTATTCCCAGGTTAATTTTTGTTCTGGCGATGTTGGACGACACTTACTAGCAGTGGAGGATCTACTTCAAAAGCATTCATTAATGGAGTCACAAGTTCATTCAATGGGTGAGACAATCAAACGTCTGAACAAGCAAGGTGAAGCTTGTATGACCTCAGTACACAAGGATGCACCACTACTCCAGAAGAGACTACAAGAACTCAATCAGGGACAACAAGCACTTTTAAAGAAAGCTGCAGAGCGACGCTTGAAGCTGGAGGAGGCTAGAGATCTCTTTCAGTTTGAGGTGGATATGGAAGAGGAGGAAGCTTGGGTCATTGAGAAGCAGAGGATATGCCAGGCAGGAGTCACTGCAAAGGATATTAGAGCAGTCATCTCCCTCCAGCAGAAACATAAGGTAAGGAGGCTTCTGAAGTTTCAATTCTCTTACAGTATGTTTGAATGAGTGATATACAGTACTAAGAACCTGTAATCAGATTCTTGAAATAGAATGCATTGGACATTTTGATGTACAGTATTTTGTATACATAGTGTACTGTAGATTTTCTATAAAGTAAAATTATAAGATAGTAAATTTTCAGTAAGTTATTTTCTCTTTTTCTGGAATCTGGCCTACTTGGAATCTATAAAGAATGTAGTATTGGTTATGCTTCACTATTCCTATCCATTTTTTGTGGAAGACAATTAACAGTACTGTACATTTGTAATATTTACTGTGATACAAGTAGCTGCTAGGCTTTGTTGCAATACTACATTTTTATTTAAGAAGTTTCTTACAATGCCTTGATATTTGTACCAATCCTGGAGTCTTTGTACTAACACATGGGAATTTAAATTTCTTGCTTTTTTTAGCATGCCCCTGATATCTCTTGATAGCTGTCAGCACATGCCAGAATTTTTGTAAAAATATTTCCTCTTCCATGATACAGCCTCCTCATTTCCTCAGAATCTTGAAAGTGCTGCTTGCTACACACATGATCTTTGGCAGTTGCTGTATATTCCGCAGAACCATGCAATACCTGTACTTTAAAAATTTTTTTTTACATATTAATTTCGTTAATACGCTTACACCTACAGGGACACCTCAAACACAAGATACAGTAAAATCTACTTCAGCCTACGGCGAATGTACTAAATGTATAAAAACGATAAATAATGATATAAAGCAATTACCGGAAAACTGAGAAAATGGCGAGAAAATCGCTCCAAACTTTTCTGCTCCGGGCATAGGGACAAAGGTTCCCTGTGTTACGAAAGATTTCACCATGTTTAGCGTGGGTGGGAATACCAATTGCTTCGGTAACACTGGATTTTTCTGCTCTGGTCTATTTATAATTACTTTACAAACAAATATTTCTTTAAATATACATACAATACTAAAAAAAATAAAATACAGTAATAAATCAATGTAACTCAGAGCTGTGCTAACGAGGTGGCGAATCAGGTGGTGAGGTAACAGATTAAGACATTTACACAGCACACACATTAATAGCACTACTAAACCATTGTTTTGTAACATTATACTTTATAATTTCTATTTTAAAATTAATTGATACATCATGGCTCGATTCCCTACTTTTGCACTTAGACAACTGATCAGCGAATAAATCAGGGCATATGGAGACACATTATACACTAGTGATGTCACGAAGCTTCGAAACTGCAACTACAATGCATAAATTATCACAACCTGTACTCAAATGTACTAAATTAATTACTAAAATTATTATGTCTAGTGAAAACTATAGGATATTTATATTCAAATTAATCACCATCTTGCAAGAATTCCAGCAATACAAGTTATATTCTGGTAAGTCAGTGACATTTTATAAGTGAAAAATAATTAAAACTCCCTGCCTTTTATAATCCTGAGTCCCTGACAACTGTCAACCCCCCACCCCTCCTGGCTGTCCGCCTCCCCACCCCTCCTGGCTGTCAACCCCCCCACCCCCTCTGGCTGTCAACCCCCCACACCCCTCCTGGCTGTCAACCCCACCCCTCCTGTTTCCCATCCCTTCCCCCCCTCCCTGGCTGTCAACCCCCACCCCTCCTGTTTGTCAGCTCCCCACCCCTCCCCAGCTGTCAACCCCCCCCACCCCTCCTGGCTGTCCTTCCCCTCTGGCTGTCGCCCCCCCACCCCTCCTGGCTGTCAACCCCCCACCCTCCTGGCTGTCAGCCCCCCACCCTCCTGGCTGTCAACCCCCACCCCTCTGGCTGTCAACCCCCCCACCCTCCTGTCAGCCCCACCCCTCCTGGCTGTCAACCCCCCCCCCACCCTCCTGGCTGTCCAGCCCCCCCACCCCTCCTGTGTCCAACCCCCACCCCTCCTGGCTGTCAACCCCCACTTACCCCTCCTGGCTGTCAGCCCCCCACCCCTCCTGGCTGTCCTTCCCCACCTCCTGTGTCCAGCCCCCACCCCTCCTGGCTGTCAACCCCCCCACCCTCTGGCTGTCCCCCACCCTCCTGGCTGTCAACCCCCCTCCTGCCTGTCAGCCCCACCCTCCTGCCTGTCAACCCCCATCCTCCTGGCTGTCCAACCCCCCCCACCCCTCCTGGCTGTCCTTCCCCCCCACCCCTCCTGGCTGTCAGCCCCCCACCCCTCCTGGCTGTCAGCCCCCCACACCCCTCCTGGCTGTCAACCCCCCACCCCTCCTGTGTCCTTCCCCCACCCCTCTGGCTGTCAGCCCCCCCACCCCTCCTGTGCCCCCCACCCCTCTGTGTCTGGCCCCACCCTCCTGTGTCAGCCCCCCACCCTCTTGACTGTCCAGCCCCCCACCCCTCCTTGACTGTCAGCCCCCCCCCCACCCCTCTTGGCTGTCAGCCCCCCCCACCCCCTCTTGGCTGTCAGCCCCCACCCTCTTGTGTCCTTCCCCCCCCACCCCTCTTGGCTGTCGCCCCACCCCTCCTGGCTGTCAGCCCCCACCCCTCCTGGCTGTCAACCCCCACCCTCCTGTCAACCCCCCCACCCCTCCTGTTTTGTCAGCCCCCCACCCCTCCTGGCTGTCAGCCCCCACCCCTCCTCCTGTCCTTCCCATCCTCCTGTGTCAGCCCCACATCCTCTGTGTCCCCCACCCCTCCTGAAAACATTATTTACCCCTCCTGTTAGTAGCCCCCCACCCCTCACAGCTGTCAGCCCCCCACCTCCTGTGTGTCAGCCCCCCACCCCTCCTGGCTGTCAGCCCCCCACCCCTCCTGGCTGTCAACCCCCCCACACCCTCCTGGCTTGTCAGCCCCCCACACCCTCCTTGGCTGTCAGCCCCCCACACCCTCTGTTGTCAACCCCCACCCCTCTTGGCTGTCAACCCCCCACCCTCTTGACATCAACCCCACCCTCCCCTGTGTCCTTCCCCCACCCTCCTGGCTGTCAACCCCCCACCCCTCCTGGCTGTCAACCCCCCCACCCCTCCTGGCTGTCCTTCCCCACCCCTCCTGGCTGTCAGCCCCCCCCACCCCTCCTGGCTGTCAGCCCCCCCCCACCCCCTCTGGCTGTCAACCCCCCCACCCTCCTGGCTGTCCTCCCCCCCACCCCCTCTGGCTGTCAACCCCCCACCCCTCCTGGCTGTCCTTCCCCCCCACCCCTCCTGGCTGTCCAACCCCCCCCACCCCTCCTGGCTGTCATTACCCCTCCTGTTGTCAGCCCCCCACCCCTCCTGGCTGTCCAGCCCCCCCCCCACCCCACTCACCAGCTGTCCAGCCCCCACCCCTCCTGTGTCCAGCCCCCCCACCCCTCTGACATCCCTTCCCCCCCCACCCTCTGTGTTCAGCCCCCCCACCCACTCCACCTGGCTTGTCCTTCCCCACCTCCTGTTTCATCCTTCCCCCACCCCTCCTGGCTGTCAACCCCCCACACCTCCTGGCTGTCAGCCCCCCCCCCTCCTGTTATCCTTCCCCCCACCCCCTCTGGCTGTCAACCCCCCACCCCCTCCTGGCTGTCAGCCCCCCCACCCCCTCCTAGCTGTCCAGCCCCCCCACCCCTCCCCCTGGCTGTCAACCCCCCACCCCTCCTGGCTGTCCAGCCCCCCCCACCCCTCCTGTTGTCAACCCCCCCCCTCCCCGGCTGTCAACCCCCCACCCCTCCCTGGCTGTCAGCCCCCCCACCCCTCCTGTTATCAACCCCCCACCCCTCCCTGGCTTATCCCAACCCCACCCCTCTGTTTTGTCAGCCCCCCACCCCTCCTGGCTATCCAGCCCCCACCCCTCCTGTGTCAACCCCCCCCACCCTCCTGTTTATCAACCCCCCCACCCCCTCCTGGCTGTCAGCCCCCCACCCTCCTGTATCAGCCCCCCACCCTCCTGTATCCAACCCCCCACCCCTCCTGGCTGTCAACCCCCCCCCCCTCACAGCTGTCTTCCCCCACCCCTGCAGCTCGCCCCCCCACCCCTCTGGCTGTCAACCCCCCACCCCTCCTGGCTGTCAGCCCCCCCCACCTCCTGGCTGTCCTCCCCCCCACCCCTCCTGGCTGTCAACCCCCCCACCCCTCCTGGCTGTCAACCCCCCCCACCCCTCCTGGCTGTCAACCCCCCCCACCCCTCCTGTGTCAACCCCCCCACCCCTCCTGTTATCAACCCCCCCCACCCCTCCTGTTGTCAACCCCCCACCCTCCTGTTTCATCAACCCCCCACCCCTCCTGGCTGTCAGCCCCCCACCCCTCCTGGCTGTCAGCCCCCCCCTCCTGTTGTCCTTCCCCACCCTCCTGTTTGTCCTTTGCCTCCTCCTGGCTGTCAACCCCCCACCTCCTGGCTGTCTTCCCCACCTCTGGCTGTCCTTCCCCCACCCTCTGGCTGTCCTTTACCCCTCTTGGCTGTCAGCCCCCACCCCTCTTGGCTGTCAGCCCCCCACCCCTCTTGGCTGTCAACCCCCCACCCCCTCTTCAGCTGTCAACCCCCCCACCCCTCTTGGCTGTCCTTCCCCCCACCCTCTTGGCTGTCCTTCCCCCCACCCCTCCTGTTTCATCCAACCCCCCACACCCCTCCTGGCTGTCAGCCCCACACCCCTCCTGGCTGTCAGCCCCCACCCCTCCCCTGGCTGTCCCAGCCCCCCCCACCCCTCCTGGCTGTCAGCTTCCCCCACCCCTCCTGGCTGTCCTTCCCCCCACCCCTCCTGACTGTCCTTCCCACCCCTCCTGTTATCAGCCCCCACCCCTCCTGTTTGTCAGCCCCCCACCCTCACCAATGTCAACCCCCCACCCTCCTGACATCCTTCCCCCACCCCTCCTGGCTGTCAACCCCCCACCCTCCTGGCTGTCAACCCCCCACCCCTCCTGACTGTCAACCCCCACCCCTCTGGCCTATCAACCCCCCACACCCCTCTGGCTGTCCAACCCCCCCCACCCCTCCTGGCTGTCCTTCCCCCCCACCCCTCCTGTGGCTGTCCTTCCCCCACCCTCCTGGCTGTCC